TAATCCCTTCTTTTTGGGCGCACAGCAATCCCTTCTTTTTGGGCGCACAGCAATCCCTTCTTTTTGAACGCACAGCAATCCCTTCTTTTAAATGTAAAACGGACTGTTGTTATCAAAAAAATAATAAACGTATACTTACCTAAAAGAAAGACTCTTCTTACTCTTCTTAGTGTCCTTCTTCTTTTATTTTGCTGTCTTCTTCTTCTCTTTTTTTTCTATTTAAAATTTAAATTAATAAATCCGTGATTCATGAATTACTAGTTTTAACTAATCATAAAGGCTAGTAACATTAGTAACTCGAATCCAAACCCGCTTCAATCAGAGAATACGTTATAACTTATTGCACCAGTTCAGCCAAGTAGTTATATAAAAAGAACCAACGACATATAGCATGGATTGCACGATCCGTATATTGAAGCTCTTGGAAAAGTATACGCAGAATTAAAGGAAACATGGTGACAAAAATTAGAGAGAGAAACATTGGCCACCACCGCATCCCGTCTCTTTCATTTCTGTTAGCAACTTTTAAACTAATATTACATGCATCGTACGACAAATATTATTACGTACCGATTGGCTGACAGATAAAATAAAAGAATTAAAAAGCTATACATACTCAAATAGCCAAACCTGCAAAAACAGATTTTGCGCAGGGTCTGTTAGCAAATCAGTCGACAGAAAGGCAACACATTGTACACAAGATCTGTTAACAGATTCTGACAGCAGACTGGCGGCAGATTGCACAGTCTATCGACCGACTCTAACAGTAAAGTTTGTCGACAGTTTCTGCACGCAATCTGTCCCCAATCTGCTGTCAGATTAGCTGCGTTCAGAAGAACAAAATTATCAGTGAGCGCTTAGTGATTCTCGCTCCTGATTGATAAATACTTCTGGATTTATGAAGAATCTAAAAGAATACTCCAGTCACAGACAACAATAATTACTAAGCGCTCACTGATCACTTTCTGTTAAACGCAGCCATTGGTCACATTCAGCGGAGAAAACTGCTCCGCTACCACTCAGTAGCAAATGTTCATGATTGGAGAATTCTTTTAAATCTTTGGCAGGTCCGAACAGATCAGAGACGTTTGCTACGGAACGGTAGCGGAGCAGTTTTTTCCGCTGAACGCGACCATTGGCTGCGTTCAGAAAATACAACGGTTACACAACAGTTGAGTGATTCGTCAACGTTATTGGTCTGAATGTAAGTGTCTAACAGTAAGGGCCAATAGTTACTAAGCGCTCAGTGAGCGCTTTGTTTTCTGAACGTAATCATTATGTACACAGGCACTGCCGACAGATCACTAGCCGTGCGCAGATAGATGTCTACGGATCTATCGGCAGAACCTCCTCGAATCTGCCATCAATCTGAAGTTAATTTGCGCACAGATTGCTTACTGAGTGTATAAACACATATAATGGTACTGAATATATACCCAGTAAGCAAAATGCTAGCAGAATGCGCGCAGATTGACGCCAAATTCGATCAGATCTCCACATCAAAACCATAGCCATCTGTGTCCTCATTAGGCTCGTGTTTTGTCGACAAGACCTGTGTGACAGGCCGTGCGAGCAGATTGTCGGCAAAAACCGCGCAAGTCCTGCTGCCAAACTACGCGTAGAGTCTGCGCGCAGAGTTTGCTCGGTTTCTGCCGTCAATCTGCCGTCAAATTACTGCAAATCTTGCGCGGTTTTCGCTACAAATCTGCCGTCAAATTTCCGACAGCAGGATTTGGCGCATATTTGACCGCAGATTGGCGGCATAATTTGATATAACAGATTCTGCGTTAAATTTGTTGCCTATTTGCCATCAAACTATGATAGCAGGCTTAGTTCGAAATCTGCTCGCGCAGGTTTGGCTATCTGGGTACACACATAACCTATTTATGTCAATAAATTACGAACAAACACAAGCTTAACAATCAATCAAACATACCTCAAATAAAATTTTCTCTTGTTTCTCTTTTTCTCCTTCTCGTCTTCCTTTTATTTTTTATACACAATCATTCGCACTTTTCACTATCTACTTTCGTAACCGTTTTGCTACTAATAAAGCACTGAACGAAAATATCAAAATCGATAAATAGTCGATCCTTATATCGATTAAATATCGATTATCTTACAACGTCAGTAAATCGATCGATAAAGAGTGTGATCCATTAGATCACGCTGCGAATACTTCGAAGCTCCTAAGGGAGAGCCACGATTGGTCCGTACGGCACTTCAAAGCGTTTGTAGCGTCTAATGAATTGTGCGTAAAATTACGTGTTATCCATATTATTATCATCATTATCTGACAATAACTTTAATATTTTTTTTTAATATGGAATACATTCAATAATATCTTCAGCAATTAATATTTCTTTTGAAGATATATGATGTAACATTGCATCGTTCAGAACGTTGCACATTTGACAAGTAGGCAACAAACACACGGTGTCCAGTGGCAAATCATTAGTAAAATTACATAATTCATTTATTTCGCTGACTGAATAGTCTATGAATATATATTTATATGATATACCTTTAATCGACCGTTTTGTAGCTTCTTCATTCTCCGTAGTAGATAAAGAGTGCGGTACATCAATCACTACAAATGCTTCGAATCGTTTTTACTTCTCTGTCTTTCTTCGTTTGTATCTGAGAAGTAGAACGAGAAAGAGAAACGCTTCAAATCATTTGTAGCGGTCGCCCGACCGCACTCGAAATGTCAGTAATGCTTCGTCTACAGTAGAAGTCATAAAATCGTAAAGTCTTGAATCATGAGGAAATTGACCAATCACAGTTGATTTCTTCTTGACCGCAAGAAGAATAATCAATTGTCAATTTTCTCACGATCTAAACTTTAAGATTTCTATTGTAGATGAGGCATAAGGCACTTGCTAAACGTTGCGTAAATTTCACGATTTCGTATTTTGAAATAAATATCTAAGTTCACAGGACAAGTAGAGCAAAAATCAAAACAGTTTTCTTATCAACTAGAGGCTTCTAGTTAGAGGAATTAATTCATCTCATGATGTCGTCTAGCGGATAAAAATGCACAAGTGGACATTTTTTAGATTAAGTTTTTCTAACTTTTAGCTTGTCTCACAGAAACTATAAGATAAAAATAAATATAGTTCTATTATATAATTAAATGTATTCGTATTTCACAATGTATTTCTTAATAAAATACGAAACATTATTTGTATTTCACAATGTATTTCTTAATAAAATACAAAATATTACAAACATAAAACTTAAGTTCTTAAAGTTTCGTGCCTTTAAATATTAATAAATTATATATAAACTATGGAACATAAACACAGCTCAAATAAATCTCAATAAATTCTTCAAAATTTTCCATATCTCAATTGTTAAATCAAATCAAATTAAATCATAAATATCAAACCAAATTAAATTAAATCAAATCACAAATGTTATATGAAAAATAATTAAATCTCATATAGAAAATTTTGCGAAAATAAAACATTACGGCATATCTTCTAAGTTTTCGTGCCCTTAAATACTAATAATTATATATATAAACTATATAATATTTAAGAATGGAACATAAACATTAAATAAATATCAATAGACTCAAAAAAATATCATCAAAATTTCCTATATATCAATTGTCAAATCAAATCAAATTAAATCAAATCACAAATGTTGTATGAAAAATAACGAAATCTCATATAAGAAATTTTGCGGAAATTTTATACTAATATAATTATATATATAAACTATATAATCCAATACACGAATGGAACATAAACATCAAATAAGCTCGACAAAAAAGTTATCAAAATTTCTCATATCTCAGTTGTCAAATCTAATCAAATCACAAATGATAAACCAAATTAAATTAAATCAAATCACAAACAAAAAATATTATACAAAAAATAATGAAATGTCATACGGAAAATTTTGCGGTAATTTTATTTAAGACAATAGGAAATGAACGCTGTAGTAAATAAAATACAAGCAGAACAAGTTTTCTCTTTTCTATAATAACCAATAAATAAACGTCCAATGAACGTGATAGAATTATAAAGAAACAAACATTAAAGATTAAATAACATATCATGTCATTTTATGATATCATATCATAAAATGTATCAATAAATTATTGATATCATATGATATCATATGATATCAATAATTTATTGATTATGGCAGAAGAGGAAAGTGCTCTGATATTTTACAGATATGCTTGATATATTACAACCAATAAACATCAAGTGTCAATAACATAATGTCGATAATATCGTTCGATGTTGGAATATCCGCTTAACCGTATAACTGTTAAACAACATTGTATGTCTTGTAAACACTATTATGTAAAATATATAATTGAGTGAACATTCCAGTATAGATATAAAGTTTTATTAATACTTGTACTTGATGTTTATTGGATTGTTATTTATCAAGCACGTCTGTATAATGTCAGAGCAGTTTCATCTTACTGTAACAATCAATAAATTACTATACAAATAATATGATATGTAATTTATTCTTTAACGTCTATTTCTTTATAATTCTATCGTGTTAATGGTACGTTTATTTATTGATTATTAGAAAAAAGAGAGAACTTGTTCTGATTGTATTATTTAGAAAAGCGTTTATTTTCTGGACATATCTGTTCATTTCAACGTATTTGCAGAGATTTGTACTCTATTGTCTCAAATAAGATTTTTGCAAAATTTCCCTCATGCGAGAACTTATTTTATATTTTATATAACATTTGTGATTTAATTTGATTTGAAAAATTGAGATGTTATCACTTTACTTTGTATTTTATTAATATCTCAATTGTCAAATCAAGTCTAATCAATCAAATCACAAATGAAAATAAAATAATGAGATCTGATAAGGAAAATTTTGCAAAGATCTTATGACAATACACTACAAATACGTTGAAATGATTAGATATATGCAGAAAGCTAACACTGCGCTAAATATACAGTCAGAACAAGTTCTCTTTTTCTCTAATAATCAATAAATAAATGCACAATTATTATACAACGCGGAATTATTTATTGATTATTAAGGCAAAGAGAATGAAAAAACAATTATAAATATAAAACATTAATTTTACCACCTTTAGGTATGTATATACCGCCTCTTAATATACTACCTCTTGACTTATATATACCACCTCCACGACCTCGACCTCGACTTCTTATTTCTCTGCCTTTCCCTGCTCGGTGCCATCTGGGTGGTCCTAGAACAAATTATTTGGTATATGTATATATATATATATATATATATGATAATTATATATAATAAATATAGTATTTACTCTTCTTCCTACAGTATATAAAATAAATATCCCAGACATCACATGTTGATCTGGGGGGGGACGTCCTAAGGACGTTCTGAGAATGAAGAAACGTCCCCAGAATGTCCTCAAGACATACTCTGGACATCTGTGCTGTTAGGGATAGTATTTACTCTGCTTCTGCTATTTCTATTGACTTACTTTCTTTCTTTCTATTAACTTACTATTATCTTTTGCTGCTACTGTTTCTGCTGCTGCTGTTTCTGCTGCTACTGTTTCTGCTACTACTGTTTCTGTTACTGCTTGTTGTAATATTTGTGGTGGTGGTGGTGGTAGTGATGGTGGTGGAAGTAGTGGTGGTGGTGGTGGTGGTGATGCTACTGCTATTGCTGCTGCTGCTGCTGCTGCTGCTGCTGCTGCTGAAGCTGCTTCCAAAGAAACTAATGTATTTTTAGCGTTTTCTATTTCTTTATTCAAAAATAAGATCTCTTCTTTTAAATCTTTTACACTCCTATTGTCTCTCCCAATATTTTCGTCTATGTTCATCTGTAGAGTATAAAATATCTGTGATTTAACTATTGTTATATAATGTTTAATTTATGCATACTGAATTATATGTTATAAGTAATACAGTAAATAATATAATACTTCAATATTGTTTGTGCTTTTCAAAGGCTGCGGTAATAATAAAATATAAAAAGTGATACTTTAAAATTCATAACACTTAAAATAAAGTTAGCATCTGATAAAATACAATTTAATGTGTTTTAACACATTCTGAGTGGCATACTACAACTTTATATCATTACACAAATCTCTTGTACACATTAGTGATCCATCAATAGTAATCCATGTGACAAAATACAGTTTATTATAGATCACTAAGGTGTACGAGAGATTTGTGTAATGATGTAAAGTTACAGCGTGTCAGTCAGAATGTGTTAGTATACATTAAGTTGCATGTTATCAGATACTAACTTTATTTTAAACATAATGAATTTTAACGTATCACCTTCTATATTTTATTGTCACTGCACTCTTCGAAAAGCACAAACGTGTGTAACTGAAGTATTACTTATTATATCACTTATCATAACAAATAATAAAAGTCGTATGAAATATATATAATATAATAGACTATATATATTATATTTAATTACTTACTATTATCTCATCACCATCTTGCATGACCTGATTTGGCGATGCCATTATCCAAATAATATTTATACTGTACAAATAAGTGCATAAATGAAATCTTCAGTATTGTTTGAGATTTTGAAAGATTGTGGTAGCAGTAAAATATAGAAAGTAATATTTTAAAATTCATAACGTTTAAATAAAGTTAGTATCTGATAATATGCAACTTAATGTATTGTAACACATTCTGATTGACATACTGCAACTAAATATTATTACACAAAATTCTTGAACACGTTAGTGATCCATCCAAGAGGTTTGTGCTATGATAAGTATGCTATGATATGTATATGTAAAGTTACAGCATGTTAGTCAAAATGTGTTACAATACATTAAAATGTGTTATAATACATTAAGTCGCATATTATCAGGTACTAACTTTATTTAAACGTTATGAATCTTAAAATATCACTTTCTACATTTTATTGCTACTACAACCTTTGAATACAGCGTAAAAATTAGTATGCATGAATTAAGTGTCAAATCAGAATTAAACAAATTTATAAATAGCAGAAATTATATAAACTTATATGTACCAGTTTTATATGTGACGTATTATGTTACATTCAATTTCATATAACCTTTATTATTTATTATCTGATTCAACTATTCTTAGACGATGCTTTCATTTATGTACTTATTTGTACACTATTCAATATTATACATATTTGTGCTTTTCAAAGGCTATGGTGACAATAAAATATAGAAAGTGATATGTTAAAATTTATTACACTTAAAATAAAATTATCGTCTGATAATATACAATTTAATGTCTTGTAACACACTCTGACGGCATGCTATAATTTATAATAATCATTATACAAATCTCTTGTATACGTTAATGATCCATATAAGAAGATCGTTTATTTTATATATCACTAATGTGTATGAGAAGTTTGTGTAATGATGTAAAGTTACAGCATGTCAAATCAGAAAGTGTTACAACAGATTAAAATGTATATTATCAAAGGATAACTTTATTTTAAGCGTAATGATTTTTAAAGTACCAATGTATATTTCATTACCGCAGTCATCGATTATTTATTATATTAATTAGACAGTACAAAATGAAAAATGGAAGCATCAACTAAGAATAGTTTATTAAGTAATAACAAAGGTTATACGAAATTAAATTTCAAGTTATGTACTAACCAAAATCAAAAACATGCTCAGTTACAGTAACCACATCCAACCGCCACGAACGTGAATAAAAAAGTTTTCTTCTTCTTCTTCTTCTTTTTCTTCATACAATATGGCCATTCAAATCGATGTATATAATTGTAAGTCGATCGTAAATCGATGTATATTGAATGGTCTATGAATATGTATTTATGTGAATGATGTACTTTTAACTGACCTCGTGACGCCCTCTAGTAGAAGTAAAGTCAGTCGGACATTTGTTGAACGATTCGTAAATTTCACGATTTCGTACTTTGAGAATAAATTTCTAAGCTCACAAGACATGTAGAGCAAAAGTGAAGATAGTTTTCTTATATAATTCGACCCTGCGGAATCGATTGAGCTTATGCAGAACCTAATCGGTTCAGCCGTTACAGCGGTACGAAAATATATCCTATGATCAACTAGAGGTTTCGCGTAATAATACACGGTCGGTCTCGCCGCCTCGCTCGCGCGTTCACTTGGAGCGAGACACTACCGTGTCTCTTGATTTAGAAGGGCAATTAGCTCGATGGATTGAAAGGATGCAACAATACAATTTTGAGATTGTTTATCGAAAGGGAAACGCAAATAAAAATGCTGACGGACTTTCTCGTCGACCTTGTGAAGAAAGTCTTTGCAGTTATTGTAAAAGAGTGGAATCAAGAGAGTCCATGAATGACAAAGAAGTATTAGGACGAATAACTTTTGGAGAAGGAAATTCTTTTAACTGGAAGAAAGAACAACTGGAAGATCCTTGTATTTCTTTTATTTTACTCGGAAAAGAACAATAATAGCGACCGCTCTGGCAAACTGTTTCTCCAAATAGTATTTCGGCGAAAATTTATTGGTCTTATTGGGATTTGTTGGTCCTTAAGGATGGAGTCCTTTATAAAAAGTGGGAAAGCCTGAATTTAAAGACGCATGTTCTTCAAATGATTGTTCCTCGGAATAGGGTTAAGGAAATTCTTGAGGAAGCTCACGATCCTCCATCTGGTAGATATTTCGGAATCAATAAAACTTTGGATAGGATTCCGAAGAGATTTTATTGGGCAACTTGTAAGAAAGATGTTGAGAACTGGTGTAAATCTTGTAAAATTTGCAATATTGCAAAGAAGGGTCCTGCTGATAAGGGGAAGTCCCCTTTACAGATTTATAATGTCGGGTTACCAATGGAGAGACTTCAAATGGATATTCTTGGACCATTTCCTACTACCTTTTCAGGAAATAGGTGTTTATTGGTGATTGTGGATTGTTTCACTAAATGGGTCGAAGCTTTTCCTGTCAGGAATATGAGAGCTTCTACTGTGGCGGATGTGTTCGTGAAACAATTTGTTTCCAGGCATGCGGTGCCTCTTGAACTTCATACAGACCAAGGCAGAAGTTTTGAATCTCGGTTGTTCCAGGAAGTTTCGAAGTTGTTAGGAATTAAAAAGACACGTACTTCTGCATTGCATCCATAGTCTGACGGTCAAGTGGAGCGGCAACATTTCACTATTGTAAATTATTTATCAAAATTTATTTCTGAAAATCAGAAATATTGGGATCGTTGGATGGACCGATGTTTCTTCTCGCGTATCGTTCCTCAAAACATGAATCCACTGGGATTTCACCAGCTGAATTATATTTTGGCCGAGAATTTAAGTTGCCATTAGATTTGTTGCGCGGAATTCCTCCTTCCAGGACAAAGATATCAAGTGATTATTGCCAACAGCTTCGAGAAAAACTAGATACCGTTCATGAAGTCGCTAGGCAAAATTTATATCAAAAATCTCTATCTGTCAAATTTCGTTATGATCAAAATGTAAGAAAGTGTCATTTTGTCGAGGGAAGTAAAGTTTGGTTTTCAATCCTCATCGAAGAGTAGGAAAAGCGCCGAAGCTATAGTCGCATTGGGAAGGACCTTTTGAAATTATCAAGAAATTGAGCGATGTTGTCTATTGTATTCAAAAGTCGAAAAGGCATAGGAAGAAAATAGTTCATTCTGATAGCTAGCTTCTTTTTGTGAACGAACGATTTGATGTCTGTTGAAAGTCTGAGCCCGATAACAAATGCAGATTATTTATTTTTAAATAAAGAACGCTTACTCGTTCGAGTGTGTGTGTTATTTTGTTTCAGGATAAAGATGGCCCATTTTCTTCTGATTCCGTCATTTCAATCGTCAATTTTCCATCGATTATTCAAGAAGGCTGCCTCCCCCACGGTTTTTGACCGTAGTTTTTCCGTGGGGCCTTGGGTGAATGCCGAGGCAAATACCTGGGGTGTTCTTCAAAAGAACGTTGGGTCCACGGGAATTCCTCCCCCCGTCCGAAGAGGAGCCAAGGAGGAAACGGACGAAGAAGCGGAACAACAAGCGGATTGTTTTAGAAAGGTCCTGGAGACTGATCATCTCCTAGAGGACGGGGATAGAGATGATGTTCTGAAGGCGAAGAGTCAAGATCCTCAGAATCTTTGATTGAGATCAGGAATTCATGGAGTCCGGTAACCTGTAGCAGCAGCTCAGGGTAGAACAAGAGTCATGAAGATTTCTGGAGTCAAGGAAGAGGATGACCTAGCCTAAAAGAATTGTCGGGACGACAATTTTTCGAAGAAGGGGAGCAGTGTTGTGTCCGAGCCATAAGGTTTGTGGCGACGTTCGTTGTCCGTGAGCCTTAAGCATCTGATGCTGATTTTGACAACTAAACGAAGATTGTCTGGACGACAGAAAGTCGATAAGAAGAAAACAACAACTGACAGAGGGTCTTCGACAAGCTGTCATCGAGGACAGACGCGAGAATTGTAGATCAGAGAATTATTCTTGGTTAAAGCTTGAGTGAGCTGCGCTGTAAATAATAAAGCTTGTTATTCTTACGCGAGTATTTTCATTTACCTGAGTGCAAGCGCGAGTGCGAGAGTGAGCGCAACATTATAAGCTTTAATAATTTCATTGGTCTATTGTGCAAGCATTCTGGCTTCATTCCTTTCTTCGATGACGTCATCTCTTTTACCCATTCACGCGTAAATTGAGCAAGTGCTGCGTCATCGTGATTACGCTTGTCGTATCCTAACAGCAGCTTCGATGGTGACGACTTGATCGACGCTTGCTACGTGTTATTAATAATGTATTGTACGCGATCTATTTCGCAGTTCCCATCATGTATTAAACTGCAGCTTTTGATTAGTACGGATTTCATAAAACAATTGATACGTTCGACCAAATCATTCGCCCATGGCGCTGCTACTGCTACCTTCCGATGTTTGACTCGAAACTCGTTTAAAAATTTGGCAAACTCTATTGACGTAAAAGCACCAGCTTTTACGCAATTCGCGGATTTAAATTCGCCTTGTTCACTGCGTAAACTAATGCGTTACAGTCGATTACCACCATGAAGTTCTTTCCATACAAATAAATATGAAAGCGTTTAATTATTCTGACCACGGCCAACATTTCAAGTTCGAAGCTATGATAATTGGCTTCTGCTCTATTGGTCGTCTTACTAAAGAAAGCGATTGGTGCCCACTACTCATCTTTTTGTTTTTGCAGCAAGATGGCTCCTAGCCCTTGACTACACGCGTCTGTATGGAATTCTGTTTCCGCAGCTGGATCATATAATCTCAGGGTTGGCAGCGACGTAAGCTCCGTTTTCAATAGATTGTAAGCTTCCCGACAATGTTCGTTAAAATCGACTACGGTGTTTTTCTTCAGTAAATTCTGTAGTGGTCTAGCCTTTAACGCGAAATCTTTTGTAAATTTTCTAAAATAGCCGGCCAATTCTAAAAATTGTTGTACTTGGTGCGCCGTCCGTGGATTTTTAAATGTTTTAACCGCTTCTACATGCCGTTGGTTTAGCGTGATACCGTTTATCGCCACAACATATCCCAAAAATTCTATTTCTTTACGTAAAAACAAACACTTTTCATAATTGAGCTCGAATTTATATTGCTTTAAAATAATCATTATTTCTTCGATTATTTTGAAATACTCGGTTACGTTATCGGACACGATCAGAATATCGTCAATGTAAACAATAATTTTTCCGGCACTAATCAAAGGTTTCAAAATTTGCAATAATCGTTTCTGAAATTCGGCCGGTGCTTCACTATAGTCAAATGGTAATCTTTTAAACTCGTACTGGCCGTCCGGGATACCGAATGCAAAATATTTTGTGTCGCGTTCATCTATTTTGATGTGATGAAATCCATCTTTAATATCTAATTATTTATTATATTTAATATCTAAAGCGTAAATATCGTTTTATTAGCTAGCTTCGATAGACAGTCTTCGATAATCGGAAATGTATATTTCTGTTTTTCAACTCGACTGTTTAGAGGTCTTAAATCAACACATAGACGTAAGTTGTTTTTTCGTTTTTTCACCGATACGATTCGTGCACAATAAGGCGAAATGCTGGCTTTTATTATGTCGCATGCCAATAGATCATCGATAATGTTTTTGATTTCTTCGCGCTCGGCTAACGCAAACCGCCGCGGAGCATACGCATATATTGAATTGTCCTTCAAGGGTACCCGAATCGCATGCCCATCTTCAATTGTTTTGATCTCTCTGTCTCGTATATTTAACAATAGACCTTGTAGCTGATCCTTTGTTTTCATATCAAAGTCTATTGTAATATCATTTAAGCGATCTTCTAATGTTTTCCCATGTTTTCCTCAATATAAGGAGGCAATTGCTCGAATAAAAGAACTCGCTCTACTTTTTCAGCTCGCGGTCGAAAAACAAAAGACACTCTTTCTTTGTGAAGAAAATCGCGTCCAAGAATGATTTCCCCTTGGAACGAACGTTTCAACAAGACAAAGAGGACGAGGCTATATTCTACGTTTTTTGTCGGCTCGAGCTTTAACTTTACTTGCGTTGTTCTTAATATAGCTAACGGTTGTGCGTTTAAATGATATAATTTTGTTTTTACCGGTTTTAAAATCGGAATTGTTGGCTATACATGTGCATTATATAATTTTTCCTTAATAAATGAAACCGGACTGCCCGTATCAATAAGCGCCTTATAATTATATTGCTCACCCATAATAGTAGTTATGGTTACAAAGGGCTCGCTGACCCACAGCTCCCGTTCCTGCTCTTGCACCATCTCATGCTCCTGCACCACGGCCACGGGATGCCTTGGGGCCTCGTCTCCTGCCGCGCGACGTCCTCCCGGACAGGTTGAAACTCTCATTGGTGCAACTGCTTCTTCCCGCCGCTTCAGGACTGGACACTCAAATTGTCTGTGCCCTTTTTTCTTACAGAAAAAGCACGACGGCTCAACTCGACATTCTTTATGTGCATGACCTTTCCTGTTACAGTTGCGACATTTTATTTCTTTTGTGCGTGTTACATTATGCCCGATCGTCGTTCTTTTCTCCGTCTCGACCACGCTATCCGAAATTCGTCTCATTTTAGTCAGAAAATCATCGATCATTTCCGACGACAGCTATAAGGCAGTAGCCCTTAACGAGCTCACGATTATTCCGCTGATCACTAGGTGAAATTTATTCTTAGTTGATAGTTCCGCCCGATACATTAAAGCTAATTTGTCGAGTGCATACTGATCAAATGATTCCTTTGTTAAGTTCTACTTTCGACCTTAGATTTTGCTCATAATCTTATAAAAAGGAATCTCTCGACAGAATATTTTTAATAATTCCTCTCTCACCGTCCTCCAGGATTGCAGTATCGGTCCATATCGAGAATCATATCATCGTTTGGCCGTTCCCGTTAGCCTCGCCGTCGCAGCCAGCAGCGTCACTCCATCCGACGCTCCGTGTATCGCTGCAACACAGTCCACTCGCTGCACTCACACTTGAGCATTTTCTTCTTCCGTTCCTCCAAACTCGGGAATCTGTGACGCCAGTAAGGAAACTGAAATTTGCGGTTGAGGCAGCTCTAACGGCGTTTGACCCGCCAACACGCCGTCGCCTCCCGACGGCATGGAGAACTGCATTGATCATCCTCCGTTTAAATGTTCCGTCGTCGCCACTGGCCCTAGGTGGTTGTTGCTTGATGTCTGGCCTAAGTCCTCTCTCCTGTTTGTTAAGGTAAGAAGTAGCCGCTCAAATTAACTCTGCTGTTGCTGCATAAACTGCTGTTATTGCATCTGCATGAGTTGCTGTATTTTAGCCAGGCTATCGGTAACTGCTCCCATCATATTCTGCAGGGCTCCCAGTGCCTGTTCCTCTTCTGGTTGCTCCTCTGCCGAGGTCTCCGCTGTTTGTTGTTCTTCTCTCGATACGGAGTTCTCCTCCAGTCCTAGCAGGTCCTTCATCGGCCCGTTCCGCTCCAGGTGCGACATAAGCAGGTCGATCATCCGCTTCCGATCGTTCGACACTGATAAGCAAAATTTCACCGCCTCCTCTTGCAGTTGCTTCATCGACATTCCGTCGAGTACGTTGCGGTTCATTTCCTCTTAGCTTTTATCTAGCGTTACTTTAGTTTAACCCACCTAAAAGAAATGGGCTGTATCCCACTTCTGATAAATATTATCTGTAAGAAAATTCTCTAAATTCTCTTCTTCATTGTCAGAATGTATGATTATCAGGATGTTAGGGTTTCGGTGGATAAATGGATAAACTCACTCTTTAGCGAATAACACAAGAATGAATATATGTGGGCGTCGGCAACGACGGGAACCACGCACGCCGACGCTCTCGCCCACAAGAGGGTCGGAAAGTTTTTAGAGTTTAATTCCAAGGGAACACGCGCACCCGTGTCCCTGATTGTGTGATCCACTGCGTCAGGCCGCATCACGAGAGATCCTCGAGGCGCGGACAATAAACTGACCAGAATAGATGTGCAAAAGAAAACTTTATTATTATGTGCCTAATAACACCAGCACGCTCGCAGCACGAACCGAACGCACGCAGGAAATGCCTGCGACGGCACGCTCACAAAAACAAGAAACGCTCGCAATAACAAGAAATGCTCGCAGGGACGATACACACACGAACACGCTGACGGCGCGAGCCGATCACGCGGCGACGCACGTGATCAGCCGAGCGCGGCGCGAAGGGCGCGCGCGCTGGACAAATGCGGCGCGAAGCGCACGCGCGAAGCGAGCGCGGCGCGAAGAGCGCGTACACGGGACGGAAAACGGACCCGCGGTAAAGCACGCTGAGCTGCACTCGCGGAAACGGCTGTACGCGGAGGTGCACTCGCGGCAAAGCGCGCACGCGAAAGCGGCGAGCCCCGCTGACACGGATATAGCGCGAGACGGACTCACCGAGAGGCAGTGACCCGCAGCAACGGCGGGTCGATGGTGCAGGCGAAGAAAGGGCGAGCGGCGGTGGAGGGGCGGCTCGGCTGACCCCTGGGTCTCGAGTCTGGCTCGACCCGGAACGCGCGCCTGCACGTGGTATCGGCGATGCGAAGCACGAGGTGCGCGGCAAGAAAGCGAGAAAACGCACACACGTTGAGAACAACTGTGTCGACTGCGAAGCGAAACGAGGCACTCGCGTTGAGAACAACTGTCTCAAGCGGCGAAACGAAAAGCAACTCTCGTTGAGAACGACTGTCCTCAGCGGCGATCCGAAAGCAACTCTCGATGGTCCACAAGTGACTGGTCACGCACATGCACGTGCCCGGGGCTCAGAAGAGCGCCCTCAGCAGAAGCACTTGCTTGCGGTGGCTCAGAGATGGCGGCTCCGCTGGCGCCGCAGACGATGGCGGGCGAGGGTCGATCGCCACATATATATATTGTAAGTTCAACGCCACTATACATAAATCGTATACCGTTCTTTTTGTACAATACAATAATTTATATCTATCCGACTAAATTTCCAACTCGACCCTCCATTCGACTCGTTTCTCTCATATATTTTATTCGACTCTCCCTTAATTCTATTCGGTGGCTATTTTTATAATTCCTGTCCTATCGGCTGCGCCTGTGCCTTTGGCCTTCGTCTTTATTGACTCCGCTCGGAATTGGCTTGTGCTGGCATTTATCGTTTATTTCTTACACACCTCGCAAACTCGAAGGGTACGCCGCCATTAGAGCCGGCCGTGGACGGGTTCTCCAAAATTAGTGATTTTGGTGAGGGGCCGCATCCTGGTTCCTGTATCGTTGGTAGATTTTGGCGAAGGAGACTCGCGGCCCGGATTCGGCGGCGAACGTCATATGTTCGGCATTCTCCAGATCGATACATGACACGAGCACGAGTCGATCACGCGTGACACACGTGCGTGTGCGGCGTGTAGGTGAGCCGGTGGTATAAGCGGTCCGTCGAAACTTTTGTTGCTGTCCGAACGGTTGGTGCGGTCGAAATCCAACCATTTTTTGCGATCAAGATTGTTAGCGAAATCTGTCGGACGGAGAATCCGCCGACCCGTCGAACTTTGTACAGTCGGGAATATAGTTAATTATTCAACCAAGCAGCCGACCGAGTTATTCCTACCGCGTAGTAATATTTTTCGCAATCCATGTCCGACGTAAAATATCGAGAGCTAGACGGTCCCGCACGGGGCGGAAACGGGAGTCGCGATCCGACGGTTATAGATTTTGGCGGAGGAATTACGGGAGAAATTGGTGGTACGGTCGTTTCCATACCTGGCACCCAACAAGTTGGAAAGATTTGACGAATTAGTGGACGTGGTCGGATCGGGCTCGCAGCTTTCGCTACCGGCGGAATTTTGCGTCGCTTATTATTCTAATAGAAAATGACGTCGCAACACATACACACACATACACAAGAGGTGTAAATCCGATCGTGCAACCTCCATGTGGTACACCTTCGCTAATGTCGGCGATATTCTAACTTTCAAATCCCATAACTCGGAAAATATTCAATAAAACATAACTTATTTATTATATGTTTTGGAAAGCTCTCGAGATGAGCTACAAGAATATGTAATAAAAAATAGGGAGTCCTATTTAAAGAAACAAAGTTGAACTCCGTATGACCTAGGAACGTTCATTCAAAGTCAATCCAATGACATCATCTTATTCCCCCGTCGAACCAAATAACTTTTGTATGAAACATTTTTTTCTAAAATGCAGAGTTTATGAAATATTCGACCATTTCCAGACTTTTGGTACATTCTGTATAAAAAATTAAAGAAAAGGTGTAAGAATATATAAAAAGAAACTTGTATGTGCTTAAACGATTCGATAACATATACATATGTAATAAATATATTTTTAATTAAAAATATATTTTTTATATTCTTCTTCGATATATACTCACATTAAATTAAATTTAAAATAATATTGGTTAAATAAAAAGAAGCAAAGAAAAGAAAGAAAACCATATACATTACAGCAACTAAAATCGAACCACTCGCTAAGCTCGGATCACTAGCTCACTACTCAGACAGTTAGGCTATTCTTTCCATTCACAACTCTTGCCAAACGCCTTCTTGTACAGTCGACTTCACGCGTTACGTTTAACTGCCTAAATTTGATTATTAAATAACTTCAAAATTATCAAATGTCTGAACAAATAGTAAAAAAATGGATCAAACATTTTTCGGTTCTTGACCTATCCACAAAAGTGCACCTAAATCGATGATTTACACTTCGTGCAGTTTCCTTATAAGTTAGGTGACTATCGTAGATGAATAAGGACATTCCAATTCAGCTCTTTCCATTTTTGTCATATCTGTAATGATACGTTTGTGGCGTTGGCTTGGTGAAAAAAATGCTCCTTTTATATTAGTAAGTTCTAATCATTTTTTCTTAATGTTCTCCATCAGTCTATTCAATTGCGAACAATATTTATCAGAATTAATGCTATATTTATTAGGCGGCAAAGGCTTATAAAACAGTACTTTTTTTCTAATCCCCCATATATTAGGTGTACAAATGAATAATTCAAATTATTTTAAGCAGTTATGAAATCAATTTTAAATTGAAGTAGATAGAATAGGGAGATTCTAACTCAAATTGCTAATTAACACGTTAAGCGCCACGCCGATTTTGAAGGCAGTCCCCATCAGGCCACGCGCGCCACTTAGAAGCGCTGGTATTATAGGGCCAATGTCTCTTATCGCAGTAGAAGAGTGTTTACGTTTAGAATGACCCGCCTATATGCATTCATTCATTCGACACGTTACGCGGCAAGTCTGTTTTGTTTTCATTATGGATTCGTGGCCGGTGTTCCTATTACGAATAAGCAGTCTATTGCAGTCCTTGGCCTCGTGCAGACAAAAATTTTCTTTAGCCCTGAGCGTCGAAATGTCAGTGCGAGAGTATGAAAGTGACAGCAGCAATGAAATTAGGTTTCCTAAAAAACGGCGTAATGTGGATATATTTTTATCATCTGAGGAAGAGGAGGAGACTGTTGGAGAATGGCATGACCCGAGGGGCAATCAGCCTAAGATTGTGCCATTTACACATCCTTCTGGGTTTGTAAGTGAAAACTTGCATGTAGAATCAGACATATCCGTAGAAACCAGCTATCTATTATTTGTGCCAGATGAATTGTTCCTGAAAATTTCCGAACAAACAAACTTATATGCAGCACAGAAATTAGAAAGTGGACACGCACATCGCTTGACAAAGTGGACAGAAACAAATAAGTCTGAAATAAAGAGATTTTTTGGACTAATTCTATGGATGGGATTAGTAAAACTACCAGCTATACACCAATATTGGTCCAATGATCCTGCCTATATGCAAACTTTCCCGAAAAAAGTAATGTCAAGGAACAGATTTGAACTGTTACTAAGAATGCTACATTTTGTAGACAATCAAAACAGTAATGGTTCCAATCGTTTATTCAAAATACAACCAATTATAAACACTTTGGAAACCAATTATCAAAAATATTACAATCCATCCGAGGACATATGTATTGATGAATCCTTGGTTCCCTTTCGTGGCCGCATTATATTCAGGCAATATTTGAAACAAAAGCGTCACAAATATGGAATCAAAATATTTAAATTGTGCTGTGGATCGGGATATACGTATGCTCTCCGTGTATACGCAGGGAAAAATTTAGAAAGAGAAAATACTACGCCCACTAACATCGTAATGTCTCTTTGCAGAGATCTATTCCATAAGGGACACACGTTATACACTGATAACTGGTACACGAGCCTAGAATTAGCGGAAAAATTGATACACAAAAACACCCATTTAGTAGGAACATTGCGTTCAAATAGACGAGGAAATTCGCAGCAAGTTATATCAACAAAATTAAAACGAGGAGAAATAGTAGCGAAAGAAAATAATCAAGGAATAACCATTTTGAAGTGGAGAGATAAGAAGGACATCCTAGTTCTATCGACAAGGCACTCGTCAGAAATGGTGAATGTTCAATGCCGATCAGGAAACAAGTTCAAGCCACAAATTATAGTAGATTACAACAGAGAAAAGGCAGCTGTTGATTTATCCGACCAAATGAACTCCTACAACAATCCGTTACGCAGGTCCACAAAATGGTATAGAAAACTAGCCTTCGAATTATTATTGAATACTACGGTTGTAAATAGTTACATTCTATACAAAGATATTACGAAACAGAAAATCAGCATTACAGAATTCCGGAAGAAATTAGCAGTATATCTTACAAATTGTGAAAAAGAAGACATTTCATCGGACAATATTGCAAGAAGGTCTAAAAAACAACACCAACTCCAAAAAAAACCTGGAAACGTTTCCAAAGTACGAAGATATTGTAAATCATGTTACGATAAAAATATAACAAAAGATAGTAGAGAAATGGCCAGGAAAAAAACTAAGCGAGTTGTCACATTTTGTAATACCTGTAAAGAACCGTTTTTATGTTTACCGTGCTTCAATGAAATCCACTAATCCTGTAATGTGTCAAAATTAAGTAAATTTTGAATAAATTTTCTGCAATTCCATAAAAGAGTGTAAATTTTATAGTTCTATATCATGTTATACGCTGTCAGCCAGCTGTTTTTCGCGGCCTATGTGAAAGGTCAGTGTCACCCAGCGGTGGCAGACACAGCCTAAATGTAATTTCAGTGTCAGCCACCGGTGGTTGACGCGGCCTAAACGGAAAGTCCAGTGTCAGCCACCGATGGCTGACGCGGCGCTCAACGCCGTTAATTATGCAAAAGACATTATTTATTAATTAATATTTTTTAATTAATACCCCCTTTATTGATACTCCCTCTTTATTGATTCCCCCTCTTAAATGATCCCCCCTCTTAATTGCCCCCCTTCCCTCTTAATTGTACTCCCTCTTTATTGATCTCCCCTCTTAATTGATACCCCCTCTTTATTGGTACTCTCCTCCTCCTCCCCAGAATTTTTGATTCTATGAGCAAGATGGCGGCCGTGACGTCACGAGAGAAAAACGCGTCGGGCTGTAGGTAGACTCGAACCTGGGCCCCGCGGGTTGTTATCGGACGCTCGAACCTCCTAGACCATTGCTGCGCCTGTTAGTAGCAGATGTCTAGTGAAGGTTCTTACAGTGTGTATGATGACGTCACGAGAGAAAAAACGCGTCGGGATGTAGGTAGACTCGAACCTGGGCCCCGCGGTTGCTATCGGACGCTCGAACCTCCTAGACCATTGCTGACTGTTGCTAGTAGACGTCTAGTGAAGGTTCTTACAGAATGTGTGATGACGTCATGCATACGTCAAAAGAAAAAACATGGCGGCGGTGTAGGCCAGACTCAAACCTGGGTCCTGCGGTTGCTATCGAGCGCTCGAACTTTCTAGACCACCGTCGCCTATTGCTAGTAGACGTCACGCATACGTCACGGTAAGATGGCGACCGTGTCGTCATGCATACGTCAAAGAACAAACATGGCGGCGGTATAGGTAGGGTCGACCTGGGCCCCGCGATTACTATCGAACCTGGGCCCCGCGATTACTATCGAACGTCTGTCGGACGTCTTTCGAACATCTATCGGACGTCTCTCGAACGTCTATCGGACGTCTCTCGGACGTCTCTCGGACATCTCTCGAACGTCTAATAATCATCATACCGCAAATAAAGAACTGTATGTTTATCAAACATAATTATCACATAAAATCCTAAGAGGTGAAAGGGGATAAGCGTGTTGGAAGAAACATCTGTACATTTGAAATAATATTTTATTAAGCGTCGTACAATTCTCTCCAAGACCACCAATTGAAAATGTTTAGTACGTTCTGTAAGGCACAATTTTTCATATGATTATTACATCGAAAAGTATTATTCAATTTTTGCAGAGAAGGCATGTCATCATAATCGGTGTCCACGGTCCTAATGATCACGTTGCTTCTCACATTGTCATCCAGAAGGTGTAACAACCATTCCCGCTTCTCGTGCCCCTTTACATACACAAGTTGAGATGCGACATCTTCGAGCTCGCCATACATATCACCCACCACAGCGGTAGTAATCAAATGTTCAGCTCTGCAGTATTTGACGGTTCCATCTTCCCATCGTAATCCATGATGATTAGCCGTTAACCAGTAGGCTCTTGATTTGTCTGATCTTGTGAGCAGATGCCATGGCATCGGACTCGTGAAGATGTAGTGTGAAAGAATAGTTCCATTCTTCAGTATCGCCGCTTCTTTTACAATAAATCTCTTTCCAACCATGTACCCTTGTAGATCCACAAAAGTCGGCACATCCATAGTGAAATATTCTTCGACACGTCCGGGAAAGAAATGTTGTTTATAGCACTTTGTTGCATGTATTATTCTTTTCTCGTACATACTTTCTGATGTTAGTTAAGTTTGCGCACCATATTGGTTAGAGGGCTGTATTCAACTACATGATCATGCAGGATGAGACAATATGCAGTAGTATTCGCCGGTTTATTCTCCTTACACTCAAATTCTATGCACACATCCACAGTGGCACTCTTGACGGACTCATTTTGACGCGAGCAATCGATAACCACAAAAGGACCTAGCCGCAGAAAGTCGGTAATTGTTAACCACACCTCAGCATTGTCGCATCCATAATACGATTTACGAAAACGTCTACACATATCGTAAAGTACGGCGTATTTATTTTTTGTAAAGTCCAAATTCACGTCGCCGTACGGATAACACTCTGAATTCAGATAGAGCTTCACGTTGATCAATTTGCAGTCATTGAAACGAGTTACATTTTCCGACATGACATTCTTCCGGCCAGTCTGCAGCGCAAAACTCGGGGCCCCGATTGCAGTTACGTAGGCACCGGGGCCCCGATCCAAGTCCCTTCGCAGCGCCACCCGGGGAGGTTTTAGCCGGTAGGAGTCCGGCATAACCCTGGCCCTTCCCCGAGGGTCAGGGTATCCATGATGGATTTCCTCCTCGTCAAAAAAAAAGAAAAAAAAAGTCTACAGCGCAAAGATAACGTATCGAGGTTTCTCTAAATTAGTAGCAGTTTTGACGGTCCACAAATGTTTGGTCGTTCTTTGCAGTAGAGGAAATTCATACGGATCCCACGAGCGGAAACTCATACTCAGGTATCGTCCATCCACCAAAGTTTTCAGCATGGAAAGTTTATTGATATCATTCAAGATTACGTGAGGCATTCGCCATTGTATCTTGAATAGCTCAATCTTGGGATCCAGCGCTGAAGATCCTAGTAGACTGTTGTCGCTGCGCGATCGTAATAGAATCAATTCGTGACGCGCGTTAATCACTATATGCTTGTAGTCTTTACAGAATCCTAGCAACACGCTGAGTGGTACGCAAAAGTTGAAGTATCCGTCCGGCGAAATAGTGTCAGTCATATCCTACGTGGCATTTTTCATGATAGCATTTTTGTCTGAAGATATCGATACATAGTTTTTGAGCGTTGAAGTTATTCCCACGTTCCTGTTACGATCAATCTCCACATCATCCAGTTCATAACGGATCTCATCAAACATGAATGCAATGTAATTATATCTCAACGTTACAGTCCCACCATGGACTGCAACATGTTTCATAACCTTCCCTCGACATAGAGATAACTCTCGCATGGCAATATGTATAAATCCTGCTACTGTATGGGTATTCGTATCTCGTCTCTATATCCAAACGTTGTGTTAGCGTATGGGATGTACGTATGTGTCTCAATCTTGACGACGCGCTCGTCAAACACCGGTTCTAATGTTCAAAATGTCAATCATCTTTCTCAATCGTTTCGTACGATGAATCCCAGAGATTTCAAAAATTCAACGTTCAACGCGCTGAGTTTCTTTCGAACGAGGGATTTTCTACTGTTAATTGCGCGTCTTGTAAAAAGTATATTTCCAGCTTGTTTCACCTGTTCCACTTGATTCACCACAAGCATTTCATAGATTACGTTTATTATCGTCGCCGTCGTACGTGCAATCTAATGGTAATCTCTTCTCATCGAAAATCGAGCGATTGTCCTTCTTGATCAACTACACGCACCGTTAAATCTGTAATGCTCCGTGCGATGATTGGAAGATAAATGACATGTGTCGGTGTTTCCGATATCTTATATCCTGATGGCATCTTAGGCGAGAATTCATGTATCGTATGTACACGCATACTGTTACTGTACGCACCACTGACAACGCTGCATTCTATACGAATGATATTCACATTGATAATCTTAATCGGTGCGTCCGATTCGTGCCATTGGTGCGGTTCTAATATATGGCTTGAAGAGAATCCCAAGAGCGATCCAATGTTGTTTGAGTTGCTAAAATTTATTCTATAAGCACATTTTATTTCACTCTTCATCGTATTGTTATTGACACGAATTATTATAGGATATTCATTCTCGTCATCTCTATATGGATTATTTTTGGAACGCACTGCTTTTGGAGAATGTGAAATTGCACGTTTCAGATATTCGTATATGGCGCGCAATTCGTACGATCCTTCAAGAATCGTAATTTCTTCATCATTAGCACCATAGTAAAATTTATTATTCGACGAATTTACGTTTGGTATGGTATTGTATGCTTCGAAATCCGTTAAACCGAGCTCGTAATCACCATCGTTCAAATCTATAGCGGGAAAGTAGCTCACCGTAAGGGTGCTACTGTTGCCAGTCAACGTGAGCGTTAGCGACATGTTTGCAAACTGCCGAACGAATACTGACTGCTGTTAGTGGAATGCCATCATCATCATTTAAATTGATCCTCTACCGTTTGGAGAAACTGTAAGCACAATTGTCCGCAAATGCTCTGGTTGTAATGTTGATATGATGTGCGATTGTACAAAATTTTCACTACATCTCTCTCAAGGTATCGAATCAATTCCTTGGGCGGTCGAAGATTACCAAAATTGTCAAAATATACTGCGTGATTTCCTCTTTTCGCATACGCCACCCAGTGAGTACCTGGTTCCTCTATGTCGTCTAAATTTACAATACCGCTCTCGTTTTGACGTACTCCATCTATCGGTAAGGCGTCACGCATGAAAACACCTCGAAAGAAAAATATACGCATACGCCTCGCTAGTCTTTCCAACTGTACATTAGTCATTGCACCCGTGAGTAATTTTAGCGTTTCTTTGACGTTTTTTTTTGCTGCAGCGCCTTTCCCGCACTTGTACGGAGCAAGATAGATTCCGCGACCTTTCGTAACGTGACCTTCCATTGCGCGATAATAACGTTTTAATTCTTCCAGCTGGCGTTGCGCGGCTTTGCCATCATTCACCGCTTTTGCGACACCCGACGCTCCACCGACTAGTGAACCGAGAACTCCCAGTAATGGTAGAACTGGTAAAATAGCACCCCGTTTTGCTACTGGAAGTGCTCGTTTTCGGATTTCTTTCTTGGACGACTTCTTTTTCTTCGTGCCCATGCCCGTGCCGATTTTCGTTTTGGCTTTCATAGCAGCCCAAACGACTGCAGCAGCAGCTTTCTCGCCTAGAGTTGATTCTTTCGAAGTTATGCGTTTCCGCGCTTTCACAGCGAGAATCTCGTCCGCCGCGTGCCGATCAGTGAGATTATTGCTACGCGTATAGGCTATATCGTGCTCACGACACGCCGCGTCCAATGAATTAATGCCTTGGTCACCTCTGACCAATCGTTTTACCAAGCGAGTTCCAGGACC